TTTTTTTTTTTCAATTAATGACATGGAAAAAACACATGTAAAAATGTATAAGTTGGTATTTTATCCTTAAAATTACACAAATATCCCTTATCTTCAATATTTAATATTTGCTAAAGTTACCAAAATACCCTCATCTTCAACCTCACTAATCCATATATATACACAAGTTTTGTACAGATTAATATAATCAAATACAATTTCAGTATTCTCATTTGGTTTTGCTCTTCTTCATTGCTATCTCGTCGTTGCAGACTGCATGCAGAGAAAAATCAGCAGAGTCCCATCTGTGCAGAGAATCTCTGCACAGACTTTTTCAGTCTGAAAAACAGTAAGAAAAGTAAAAAAATAAAAAAAAATAAAAAAAAAATAAAAATAAACTCATGTTTGTGCAAATGATATCTGCAGAGACTTTTCTAGACCATTAATGGTTTGGAAAATAGCAAGAAAATCAACAAGAAACTGGAAAACGACAAGAAAATCACCAACAATTATATCTGTGTAGAGATGCTCGGCATAAACTTTTAAAGACTAGTTACGGTCTGGAAAACAGCAAGAAAAAATAAAAAGGTCATGTCTGTGCAGATGATATCTGGAAAAAAAAGCAAGAGTCAAAGAAAAGTCATGTCTGCAAGAGGTGATTTGCTTTGAATTTTTAGACCGTAAATAGTTTGAAAAGAAAATAGCAAATCAAGCAAAATTACTTCATTAATATTTATGTTTTATGTTTGCAAACTATTTACAGTTTTAAAAAAATTTCAACAATATTAAATTTATTACTACTATTTTTTTGGTTCATTATTGTTTTGGAACTATTAGACAGACAGTTAACAATCTGAAATATGTTAGCACGTTTTTCTCTAATTCGTGCCCTTTTTTACTCATATTGTTACTGGTTTGAAAAAACAAATTACTAATTATTTCAATATGGATTTTGGCCATTATTTTAGCAAATCGGTTTCAAACTGAATTATTTGTTTTCCAAATCATTCATTGACGGTCTAAAATATACCGGTTTGAATAACGTGTTTTTCTTGTAGTGAAATTTAGTTGTTACTTAATATATTTATTTTTATTTTATTTTTTTTAAAAAAATTAAATTTTTTATTTACACCATATATTTTTTTTTTCTGTGATCAACATCTTTCGTAATTTTCATTTTCAATCAATACCTTCTATAATTTAAAATACATAAAGAACATCAAAACTACCAATAAATCAAAGTGCAAATAGAGGGTTTTATTGTTAATTTTTGAGTTTTTTTACTAATTTTAAATTATAAAAAGTGTTGACTGATAGTAAAAAATTTTTATGGTGTTGACAGTAAAAAAACAATAATGTGTAGGATACAAATAGGCAGTTTGGCCATTTAAAAAAATAATTACAATATATGTGACATGAAAAATTTTATTTAAATAGTATTAGTACTTAATTAAAGATAAATATAAAATTTTAGCATCAATTATTATATTTTTATTTTACTAAACAAAAAATTAAGTTCATTAAAATTAAATAAATGAAGTAATAAATATTAATTGTTCTAACAACTAACAACTACTCCATCTATATATTTTTAGTAAATTTAATTTGATTTTTAAAATTTTAAAACATAAATTTTAAATAAAAATTTAACAATTTATATAAATAACAATTAAATTTTTTTTGTCTTTACATATAATTCTTATTAAGTATTTTTATTTAATAAAATTTTTTTAATTATTATCTATATAAATTATTAAATTTTTATTTAATATTTATATTTTAAAAATTTAAAAATAAATTAAATCTATTAAAATAATACAAAGACTAATAACTAAACCAGTATTCTCCTAACAAAAACAACTAAACTACAGTAGCATTTTTAACTGCCGGACAATAGTTTGTACGACCTTAATCCGTATGGCAAATGGCAATACCCATTCCCTCTCCTTCCACGCGCCAAACCCCATTATTTATAATCATCATTGATTAGTAATAGTATTTTTATTTGTTTTTCTCTATGAGCGGTGACGCACTTTGGGATTATCTGCAAGCATTTGTCCTACCGACTAGCTCAATCTATCTTCCTCCCATCAATGGCTTTCTGCATGAGAATTTCAAGAAACTTTATTCATACACTCAAATCAAAGGTGGGTTTCTTCCGCCGTGATCTTACCCCTTGGTTAACATCCCCATGTGTTCAGATTTTCGAAAACCCAGATCCTATTCTGCAAACTAATGTTACCCGATTCACAAGTCGCCGGTTTGAATCAATCAAAGCCGAGGAACAGTGCAGTTCTGCGGATCACGCTCAGGTAATGACTTCCTTAGTTTCACTATGAACTGAGCCTGAGATTTCTGCATTTCTGCTATAATTCTATTGATCAATTTGCTTTGCGCTCCAGTAGATTAAAGTTGTTCCCTTGCCTTCATTACGTATTTGGATTTGCATTTTGATTCTGAAATAATTTTTCTTCCATTTATTAAGAAATAAGGGCCTCAAGTGGTGTTTGGTTAAGAGCTTGAGATTTCAATTTCACTTCCAAGTTAGATATTGAGTTTAGTGCTGGCTTTTATTTCTGTATGACCTATATATTATATGATGTATAAAAAAATTTTAAAAAATCAATCCGGAAATTTTCCCATAACTAACTTTGAGTTTTAAGTCCAAATCACTAAATTAACTGCTTATTCATAGACACGCGATGCATGTAGTACGTAGATGGTCCGTACAGAATAGATATTTTACTAATACAGTGCTCTAGATCATAAATGATGACAAGGAAGGAAGCGTCTTTTGAGGTGCCAAAATTTTTTCTTTTACCTTCTTGACCGGATAAGAGCTTATGAATGGCTATTGTGAATGGACAAAGATCGGACCCTCTTTCATTCTCATTCCTTGTCTGTCCGTGGGTAGGCAACTTATTTTAGTCTGTTCAATGATTATGTACAAGTTTTCTGATGCTCTTGGTCATGGAGAAAAGATATTTGTTAAAGTCATTTTGCAGCTCCGAGGCATTGATGGGCGTAAGTCGTAGGGACATAAGGATGTTGTGTAGGAATTTGGTTTTACCTTTTTTTTTTTTAATTTTATAACTTTACCAGTATATTCACTTACATGTATGGAGAGAGTATTTCTTGTTCCTGGATAAAATTGGAGCTTATGTGATACTTTATTTGTGATGCTGTGTTATTTTGGGTGCTTCTGGACTTATAAATGAAGAGTAAGTATTTTGGATAAAATTGGAACTTAGTTAATACTTTACATGAGGGCTCTTTTGGATGTTAGACTGTGCTGTTCTTTGATGTATTTGGGATTGGGATGGATACTTTAACAAATTTTCAGTTTCATTTTAAGAAGTTGACAAACTTTCTTGTATCATTGATAGAAATGTAACCATTCTCATGGTTTGTACAGTGTGATTATGCATGTTCATTTGACTGCATGAATGTGTGTAGTGTAGAGTATTGATTCTCAAACAAAGTTATCTTTTCAAGGCAGGTCTTGGATTTTCCAGGAGGAAAGGTTGCATTTACCCCTCAAATGGAGTTCCTATCTGAATCTCCTGAGGTACGTTCACCCTGCTACCGGGTTCTTGACGAGTATGGCTTGTCAATTGAGCACAGCAGTTTTGCAGAGGTAGATTTACTGATCTCTTTCATGCTTTTTCAAAAAAGAAAAAAGAAAACAGAGAGAAGAAAAGAAAAGAAAAGAAAACTCTCCTCTTTTCCTAAGAAGACACACACATGATAGATTAAAAACAATTTCATGAATTGTTCATTTTATTAGGTTAGCAAGGAAGTTGCCATCAAAATGTACAGTGACATGGTTACTCTTCAAACTATGGATACTATATTCTATGAAGCACAAAGGCAAGGAAGGATGTCATTCTATGTGACCACAATAGGAGAAGAGGCCATCAACATTGCCTCAGCAGCAGCACTTAGCATTAGTGACATTGTCGTTCCTCAGGTTAGAGAGCAGACACATGAGCTTATGTGCTTCACTTCTATCCCATCAGGATCTATGTTTTTGCATCAATGATGGAACATATCCATAAGCAATTAATCATCTAAAATTTTAAACCTAATTTGTTGAATTCAGAAGCTGGTTCTACACTCCCATTTAGAGAATGAAAGCAAGAATGTATGCAGTTGATCATTCACTCTAACAAATGTTGACATAATAATTATTTGATTTATACTTATGGTTATGTATGAGTAAATTCATTTTAATGATTTTGAAACAAATATTTTGCAGTACAGGGAGCCTGGTGTTCTATTGTGGCGTGGTTTTAGCCTGCAAGAATTTGCAAACCAATGTTTCGGAAACAAAGGTGATAATGGGAAAGGAAGACAAATGCCTGCCCATTATGGATCTAACAAGCATAATTACTTTACCATAGCATCAACAATTGCGTAAGAGATCAACTTTTACTGTGGTGGAGTTTGTTGTATAGAACTTTCTCAAGTTCTTTATCTTGTTTGGCCAAAAGAAAAAGGTTCTTTATCTTGATTTTTAAAAATTTTAACAATAAGTATTGCTTACTGTTTTCCAGAACACAACTTCCCCATGCAGTTGGTGCTGCATATTCTTTGAAGATGGATAAAAAGGATGCATGTGTAGCCACTTACTTTGGTGATGGTGGCTCAAGTGAGGTAAACAAGCTAATATTAAAATCTAAAATTAATATTTTCATTTTTGGGTTCAAATTAAGAATCAGGCACATTTGTTTTTTGTATCTTTTGAAGGGATTCAGGACCACTGGCTTATTCATATCCTTGTTTACACACAAATGATAGATGTTCTTCATTAAATGAATAGTTAGCTTTCCAATAACTTTATTTAAGAATCAGAAAGCCAAGAATTTTTTTGTTAATCTCTTCCCACCACTCTCCCTCCATTCTTTTTGTTTAGGTAATTGAATTCATTTCCTAGCTGCCTGAGTTTAATTTATGCAAGTTTTTTTGTTTCTTGTTTCTAACAAGAGTAAATAATGTCAGGGAGATTTCCATGCTGCTTTAAATTTTGCTGCGGTTTTGGAGGCCCCTGTTATTTTTATCTGTCGGAACAATGGATGGGCCATTAGCACTCCCCTCTCAGATCAATTTCGAAGTATTCTCACTTCTATTGCTTTCTCATTTTATTTTGACAATCTTTTTTGCATTGAATCTATTATTTTTGTGTGTATAACCCTGTTATGTATCTTCTTATGTGTATGTTGGTAGGTGATGGCATTGTTGTTAGAGGCAAAGCTTATGGAGTCAGAAGTATCCGCGTAGATGGCAATGATGCTCTTGCAATGTATAGTGCAGTTCATGCTGCAAGGAAAATGGCAATTAGTGAATCCCGGCCAATTCTAATTGAAGTAGGTCTTCTTATTGTTAACTTTTTTATGCATCGCTTAAAGGCCTTGGTCCAAAACCCAATGACTTGGTGTTCATGTTTTGCTGCATCATTTTTGTTGGTAGGCCCTTACGTATAGAGTTGGACATCACACTACGTCAGATGATTCCACCAAGTACCGTTCAGCCGATGAGATCGAATGTTGGAGAGTTAAACGGGACCCTGTTAGTAGATTTAGAAAGTGGATTGAAAGCAATGGTTGGTGGTGTGATGAGACTGAGATGGAGCTCAGAAGCAGCGTTCGGAAGCAGGTAAAACTTGCTTGTTTGAACTTTCAATTAGCTTTGGAGCCAAGTGAAACAAAGTTATTGTTGCTTTGCTTTTATTTATAATCCCCGTAGCTCATATTTTGGTGATCGGCAATACTATAGTTACAATGCCACATAGGATTATACTATGTGGCATTAAATGAATGCATATAATATTATAGGTGGACCATTGAATAAAAGAAGTTAATTGTATAATAACACATCTTGTTGTAAATTTACAATGCCACATGGCTTGTAACTGTAGCATTTTCATTTTGGTTTAGGTGATTATGTATTATAACTTGGAAAATAACCCAAATTCTGAAGTCCCTTACTGATGCTTCTTAGTCCTTGCAACAGCTTTTGCATGCTATTCAAGTAGCCGAGCAGGCTGAGAAACCTCCTATTAGGGACTTGTTTACAGACGTTTATGACGTGCCTCCTGCCAACCTCTGCGAGCAAGAAAAATTGCTGAAAGAGACCATTAAAAGATACCCGCAAGAGTATCCTGCACATGTCTCAGTGTAAGAAACTGTGTTCTCTTGTGAAGCTTGAACTACTGATCTCGCGCCTTTCTTTTCTTTTTTTTGCTTTTTTTTAATTTATTTATTTGTTTGGATAAAATTTAAATTCTACTATCCAAAGAAACTGTCTGTCCCAATAAGCTGCTGCAATGAATAGAAACTATCTGAAACAAAATGTATGAGTCTACAGTTAGTTTGTTACCATCTCACAATTGCTTCTGCAGTGACTTTAACTAAAAAAATATGATTTTGATTTCATAATCCCCAAGATCAGGCTCCTCACATCAAACTGAATTTCCACTGCCATTGCAGACAGAATAACTGCGGGTGAATCCTCCTATTTCTTTTCAGCCGTACGTAGGGTAAGGACTGGGTAATGCATTACCCTTATCCATTCCCTTTAGATAATTTTTTGTTCTTAGCCGGCCCATTACTTTTTCGAGTAATTTTTAATTTTTTATTATCCATACCCTTACCCTTTGGGTAATCAGCAATTTACAGGGTAATTAGCAATTTTTTTCCCAAAGGGAATTTTTTTTATTGTAATGACCAGTTTAATTAAAATATATGCTAACTTATGAGGGTCGTCAATCCTTGTTGATAAAGATACTCAATAACCTAGGAATGCATGGGATAAGGATACTCAATAACCTAGGAATGCATGGGATAAGGATACTCAATAACCTAGGAATGCATGGGATAAGGATACTCAATAACCTAGGAATGCATGAAAATCAAGTTCTCTCTATGATTCGTTATATTCATTTAAAACTCTTCTGATCATTGGGTTGCGTATTTTATTAAAAAGTTCTACATTTTTTGGATTTCAATCCCACTCCCCTTAATGTAGTCTAGATATTCTTTCTAGCCAAAGCTTTTGTAAATAGATAAGGTGAGTAGTTGAGAAAACTATAACCATTCCATAAAATGAAACCAAATGGAACACTTAATGCTAACTTAATTAGCAAATTAGGTAAATTTGAGGGGAGGAGAAATGGAGGAGAGGAAAAATGGAAGAAATGAAGAGTGCTTAGTAAATTTTAATATGAATAGAGATATTCAATATTGTGTAGTACATTGTTGATAATTATTTTTAATTTCATTTTAATAGAATAGTCAATCACCAACATACATTGACATGCTGTCTTATTAAAATATCTCCCCTAAGTAATTAAAAATTTTCCTCTCATTCACTGATGTATATTAAAATACTGATTATATTATATTTATCACCTAAAATAAACTAAAATATTTCATTTTGTTAGAATAACCAATCATCGACATACATTGCTATGCTATCTTATTAAAATAACCCATCAAAATAATTTAAATTTTAACTCCCATTCACCTAAGTATGCTAAAATGCTGCTTATATTTTAGAGAATGAAATATTTGGTTAATTTGTGAAAAATTCTAGCCTTCACTGGTGTGCATAACAATGTCGCTTAGATGGAATTTTGGGGAAAATAGATTTTCTTTATACTTGGAAAATAATGACCATTTAATGCCGTATATAACAATGCTACTTACAACTTTCAGCAACATGCGTAAAAATGTTGATTAAAAGGAATTTGGAGGAAAGAAATTTTCATTTATATCTAGAAAATTATGAGAATTTACCAACATATTATGCATTGCTAAATCTAAATTTCCTCATCAGCATGGTGCATTACATTGCTACCATGCAATACTCGTCTAATTCCTAGAGTTTGTGATATATCTATGGTATGCATGCACAAGAAATAGAAATTATATGGAGAGAGAAATAATGTAATATTGATATCGTTTATTGGCTATCAAAATATCCTTAGTTGTCCATTTAAAAACTATCATATTCAAGAAAAAAAAGGTTGTTGTTGATAGATTAGTAAAATATATCTTAATAAATCAAGAAAAAAAAAGATCTTAATAATTAATAAAAGAAATTACTTATAAAGAAATTGATAAAAAGTATAATAGTTTAATGACCAAGAAATAAATTGAGTTAAGAGACTAAGAAACAAATAGCAAATGTTATTAAGTTGAAAGGTAAGTATAACTGAAGTCAACTTTCAAACAATTTGTATGATTGATTCCTTTTGGAAACACAGATTGTCTGACATTAAACTTAAAACATGCTTTTTTGTTTGGCCTCCTCGGAACATGTTCATGACTTGATATACTATTTTTCGTCTTAATATTATCTCTATGTTCTACCCCCTCCCCCCCCCAAAAAAAAAAAAAAAAGAGAAGAGGATATTTTATGAATTTGATCATTTTGAATATGTTTTTAATTTTTGAGAAATTTAGTTTTTTAGGTATTAATTTCCTTATGATCATTCTAAAGTTATATATTTAATTTAAATATATGAATTGAGATCTACTTATATATAAATTTTATACATTATATTTACATAAAATTTTAATTATTAATCTTTTAATTTTAATAGTTAAAATTTATTCACTTTTTATCACATTTATTAAAACTAATGATCTTTTTATCTAAAAAATTATGATAAATCTTAATTATTACAAATAGAAAGATAAATAGTCAAATTTGTATATAAATGTAATATATAAAATTTATATTAGTAAATTCCTTTTATATATATATAGTGGTAAATTCAAAATAGTAACAAAAAATTTTAGTATCCAATATGTACCATTCTCATGGTAAAATTGGTACACATCGGTATGATATTTGGTCTAATGCTAAGAGCTAAGAGCCATTGGCTCTTCGGATACGGGTAGTTGTCGAACTTCAACAAATGTACCCACTTCATTAAACGGGTACTCATCTATGGAGAGACGTTGGAATTAGAAGCAGTAGAAGAAACACAGCGTTCGCGATTGCGAAATAGGTATTACGGACGAATTCCAACTGGAACATGCCATGGAAGCTCGGGCTTGTGTCAGAAACAATTTTCTCTTCTAGAGAGTTGTCACCCTAGCAGAGAGCCAATGGAATTGCAGACTTTGGAATTTATTACGAAAGGCCATTTTATTTCATACCAGAGAGTACTGATGATCATACGGTGAGTGGCCATCACAATTCCATCATTACAAGATGCAGGCTTCTAATGTTCTATCCAAGTAGCTCTCAATTCTACACGCCTACAAGAATACCAGGGATCAGGAGAGCAAAACTTGCTGACTATAATATGGCACAGTCCAAGGCATAATAAATGGCAGCTGTAGAGATTTGTTTAAATTATTCAAGAGCATATAAGCGGGATTCGAGGAATGAAAGAATCACAAGGATGAAGCTTTCTCCTCCAGGGATTCTCTAACTGCCTTCAAGACTAATGGCATCAACTTCTGATTGGTAACAATGATGCCAGTGTCAACATCTAGATATTTTCCTCTGGAAAAATCCAAAGGGATCCCTGCAGCATCTCTGACCACGCCTCCAGCTTCTGCAAAAGTTGAATGAAGACTAGATGCGTTACAAAAGCTGGATATTGATGTGCAAACCAGAAAGGAACCCCTATCTTTATAAAATAGACACCACAATTTCCTCTAAAGAATATTTTCAACGGAGTTCTTTAGGATGAATTAGGCAGTGGCCATTGGGATTCATGGCTGATTTCATCTCCATTTTTCTTGCCTTCAATTTAATCTCCTTTAAAATGAAATGCAGGCTTTAGAGAATGAAATAGTTAAACAAATATAACATTACATTGCATACATAGAATCACAAGAGACTTCAGCATAAAATCCTAACCAGCCATATCCATCCAACTTACATCATAGCTAAGCTCTGAGAGAAAAATTAAAATATTTGGAAGAAACTTAATGCATACCAGTCACAACAATGTAGCCAGCAGCATGATCCCATATTTTCTCTCGATATCCTTTGTGCGGAAAACGCATATAAATTGCTCCATCTCCTCTAGATAGAGCCCCATACTTTGCCTGACTGTCAATTCTAACTGGTGGTGCCTTTACACCTAGTTTCTGTATCTCAATGTTTTTTTTTTTTTGTAAGATATCAAGGGAAAAAACGAATATGCCACATATACACATATACAGTTATGTATAAACATGTAAATGCATTCACTCATGCCAACATGTTGAGAGAGAGAGTACCTTGGCAATCAAGCTTGATAAGTCATGCATGGAATGTGCTGCTTCATACGACTCAAAGAAGGATGCTTCTTCTGGATTTTCAACTGCAGTTACTTGCACCTGCAGTTACAACCAACATATAAGTATGCAGCATACCTATTGAGATGAAGTACCATTAGGAAATAACACCACCAAATGAGTTTCAAACCTTCAGTGGGGAAGAACCATTTAGTGACTGCATATAAGTTCCTCCACCAACTTCAGCAAAGAAAAGGCAACCAACTTCACCACTATTGAAGGCATGTTGATTCCCCCCACTTATAGAAGTTATAGGAAGATTTGGACAAGCTAGGACACCCAAAACTACTTTTCCTTGGTCTAACAAGGCCAATGCTATTGCATATTGATCTCCTCTAACAAATCTGAGTTGCAATATCAACAGCATATGCTATTTCAGTTCAATGTACCCTTAAGCACATCAAATCATAATAATGTATTCTGTTAGAAGTAAGGGAAGCCATTGTTTTGGATAAAAAATCAGCTACTTCACATTTAGTGGACTATATGGAAGTCTTAAACATGATACATAGAAGAAGAAAGAAGGAAGAAAAACTTAAACATTAATCATAAGCATGGCCAGATGGCCCAAAAAAGCCATAAAAATGACAAGAGAATTGATAGTGCAATTAAATGGTTTGAACATGTGGAGCATTAGCCAAAGGGTGCCAAATCACAAAAGAACAGCAAAAATCCAAAGATAGTACTGTGATGCAAAGAATGAAAAGAGGTAAAGGTATACGCATATAACACAAGTTCAGATAGCAAGGAAATTATTATCTCCAAACAACTCTTTGAGAATATAGCTTTAAACTGCAAGAAGAGAGAAAGAGGAACCAGGTAATGCTAAGGCTTGTTTGAGTTCAGGAATATAATGTGAAATAGACTGTTTGTAGAACTACTGCTTGAGTAAAGCTTA